GGGCAACTAGTTTTGTCCCTTTCTGTAGGCGCGTCTAAATCTTGGGGCGCTTGTACAAGGACTCCCACTTCACCGCCTCCACTCTGGGAAGGATGTATCTATCGCCAAGGCTGCTTCCTCCTCTCCACGTTATGTTTCAGAAATGTTCCTTCCAAGGGGAAGGCGGCTGTCAGACAGGCATGGCTCTTCCTATGTCAAAAGCATTGAGCCAGATTGTGTGCGTTGGAATTTCTACCAAAAAACACCCCCACGGGGCCTATGCACCAATAGCTAAGCATTGTTTAAAACTCCCTGTGAGTGCATGGCCCGCTGATTAATTTTAACCGTGTGTAATTAGCACGCGAATGGAGGTGGGAGCAGTCACACTAATGTATTTTCATGTGTTCATACAAGTACAGACAAACACCCGGCCCAATAAGCTGAACTACACAGATGAGAGTCCCTGCTTTTGCACGGCTACTCTTTAGAGAAGCTGCAACTTTCTCACTACTCCTTCACAATGCCTGTCGTGTGCACAGCCCCTGCCTTTCCCCGGGGAAAACGACACGAGCATTTCAGGGATCGGGCAATGCTCACACCTAACAGTTTTCTATTCCAGCGGCTCTTGGTAGCTAAGAGGCCGCCTTAAATGGGCAGATGAGGGGTTTGCCTGAGAGAGGAGTCCAGGAGAGAACTTTTTCTGGCGCGCCTGCCCGGTAAAAAGCAGCAGCCCTAGGTAACGTTTTGCAGCGCTCCTGCGAGCCTTTTTTACTATCTTCGCTACCAACTTGGAGCGTTCCTGGAAACATGGTACTTTTGTATGACAAAAAACCATTGACTGGAAAAAAGTATCTGTAATTCCGGTGTATTTCGATCTAGATGTAAATATAAACGCTGCGTGAAGATTGGTTAACACGCGGCAAAACGAATTGGGGTATTTTGCACAAGCTGCGAGGGTTTGCTTCCCCCTGTGCCTGTCTTAATTTTTCTTGGGCGAATTGGACCAGTGGCACATGCACCAGTAAAATCTTTACTCTTAACTTCTAGGCTGTATGGTTTGGCACGTTGGGCCTACGATGGATGCCCTTGTAATTAGTATAAAGTTGACGGACACAAGGACAGCGAAATGTTCTCTTCTTTTTTTTAAGAAAAAATCGACAACAGCGTCTACTTCAGAAATGCTTTCATTCCCAAGATTTTTAATTGTGTAAGGGTTCAAACTGCCAAGTGAAGAATACATTACCTTTTAACTGTAATTACTACATTATTCGTTGCCCCCTGCTGATCTAGTTCTCCACTAAACTATACTACCAAATCGCTAATTTTTGTACAGCTATTTAAAAGATAGCGAGATTATACCTCGCTGCCAATTATGCAAGGAAGTTTCGTGCACTGATTTGATCTAGTGCAGTGTATGCACACAGGCGCATAAACATTTTCCCCTGTAAGAACGTGCATATGTATGTGTGGCTGCATGGTTTTGGCCCATTGGCGTTTTAAATATAAATTGTGAAAAGTCCCCGTTAGTTATAAAAGGGAAGAGTAATGGATTGTGATAATTCATCATACTTAGGATGAACCTGCCCGTGCAGTCTGCATACGGCCAAGTTCCAGTTGCTTCAATTATTGGATATTCGCGAGTAGCAGAACTATAAAGCAAACACAGTCTAGAAAAGGAAACTGCTCCAAACCCTCATCCCAGCCTCTGCCCTTTCCAAACCAATGAGCAGTGACAAGGGAGCTCTCCTGCGCAGGGCGTGCGGGCCCGATACCGCTAGAACACCATTCCCTGGGAAACCTTCGGGGAGTTCGGCCTCAATCAGGAATGCATAATGTGACCCTGCCAGAGGACCAGCCGCTCTGTTTCTAAAAGACCCGCAAGTGGATCGGAAACTCAGCGCAGGGCTCTGCTAGAGGAACAAACTGCTTTTCTTGTCTGAGTCCTTTTACAGGGGGTCCAGAGGCTTTTGCCCAGTCAAAAGTTTAAAGCATCTGGCTGCTCGCATCACTGTAACTTTGTCATAATAGGCTGGTGGTCAGAAATTACTATATTGCTACATTTAGAACATCAAGGCTTCCGGGGTTTTACAAGTTACTAGGGCGCACCTTGACAAAAATACGGGGTCTGCAGCTTAAAAACAAAGTTACACTTTAGTGATACTGCCTTAGCGCTGAGTCAGGAATGTCCCATTCTTTCTGCCATTTCCCCCTCTCCTCCAACCAGGAGGTTGAGGGGTTGGGGATGAGAATGCAAGAAAATCAGAGAGTGCAATGAACGCTTTAGTTGTAACAGGGTTTGACACTTTGTTCTGTCGTCTCCGGTTGTGAAGTCTAGTGTATAAAAAACAAGAGTCATTACCAGCAGCTCTATCTCTAGGCCATTCCGCTTTCTGTTACCTGTCAGCGCAAGAGACTGCGGATGAGGCTGGAAGTAACTCGCTGAACACGTGCAAATGTTTGTATCTTAATTAGCAAGCCGCAGTACAGGCTCTCGGTGTTGCTCTGACCAGAAGGACTGACGTGCTTTTTCAAAGTTGCTGCTGCTCTTTTTTGCGTGCCCCTCCTCTCCCTTTCAGTTTCCCTTTATCACTATAAAAAAATCTTAGCAAACAGGACACACGCGATACGGACAGTAGCTAATATAACGTAACTGTGAGGTGCAAGTCAGACTATCACAATGCCCAGCTGGACCCCTTTGCCCACATTTAAACACTCGCATCTGAAAAAGCAGGCGGGCTCAGCGCAGGCTGGCGAGCCCCTTTCGCCTCTGCAAAGGGAGAGGGCCCAGTTCTCATCTCCGAGTGCCAGCTCAGAATCTGAGTGATCATTTGCGCACAAACTTCTCTCGAGGTTCCCTTTCTTGTGACTGCTATTCAGAAATGAAGCGTTAGCGTGAAGGTTAGACGAGCCAAAGCCGTGGGGTGCGGGCTCTGATCTTTCTTTTATAAATAATGCATTACGCCTTGCAGCATTGCGAGCCTCTCAAAGGCTGCTCTGTAGAGGGTTCACCCCATCAGCTCAGCGATATGCGATACTTCGGTGGGCGCACACAGTTCTCGCCCCTGCTCCCCCGAAACGAATAGGTGATTAGAAACGATTCTAAAGCCAGCCATGACTGAAGGGTGAGACGGATCGATTTTTTGAAGTGCGAGGGCTGGTTTTTTTTTTTTTAACTCAGCCTTAGAGAATGGAGTCCCCTCGTGCTCTGGTGAAAAATAAAGACGGCGCTTTTCCGATGGACCCCGGGCTCATCTTTTGACGTG